TAGTATTCTCCAGTGATATATCAATTCATCCTTCCCATCTGCAGATGTCTATGTTCAATCTTCAAGCAGTTACATTACCTTTTGTGCTGTTTTTGTCCTTTCCTCAGAAGCATCCCATTAAACTTCCCTCAAACTCCCTCCGGATCCTCTTTGAAATTCTTCCTTAACCTTTTCCTTTGCTGAGCTCTCTACAGACTCCTTGTCAACAGTAAAACATTTAGAGCGCTGAGACCACAATTTTCCTTGCTGTTCAGTTTTGTCTGATTGTTTCTTTGTATTTCCTATCTATACCCAGTTGTTATTGCTTGTATTAGGTTGTAAGCTCCTGCAGTCTGGCCCTTCTTTGAATTCTGTGTTTGTCCAATACCCGGCACAACGGGGCTGTTCTAAAATCTGATCAGCCAGGATCTGTGGTAGTATAAGCAAAAACCATGTAATAATAGTAATAAAATAACGAGAAGTTAGATCATGGCATCATGTGCAATATGAGCTCCTCTCCTCCCTTCCCCCTCTTCCTTCAGATTTGAAATATTTTAATTTTTTTATATAACAGAAGACAGTAAATGAGGAGGTTTGAGAATAAAGTATAGTAGCTGATGTTTCCTTTCAGCTGCTGAAGTGTTTCCCTTTGAGCCACTCAGTAATGATGGCAATTCCAGCAGTTTCAGAAGGGAAGCCTCTGCAGGCACCTCTGTACGTCCCCCCAAGGTAAGACCAACATGTGGCAGCCAGGCTAGGCTGAAGGAAAGTCATGGGCAAGGTTATGAACCTCTTTCATGCAAGAGGACTCCAGCCTCCTAGGCTTGCTGCCAATGTATCACCTTCTAGTTTTGCTGAAATGATCTTGAAAAAGGACGTGAAAAGGGCCAAAGGGGCAAAAGAAGAATGTTGAAATGACATAGTTTCATCTTCATGCAGTTTAGTACTAATTTTGTCCTTTGTCTTTAAGCTGCCTTTTAAGTGCTGTTTCTCTCTGTGGGAAGCAAATGGGTCACGTTGTTCTATGTTTCTACTGTAATACGCTGCCTGCTATTTTTCTCTTAGATTATTTGTGTAATCTTTTTTGTGCAATCTGTTTGTTCGTGAGTCTTGCAAGCTTTGCCTTTGCTACTTCTTTCCCAATAAGCAGTGTAACTTGTTCTGTATTCACTCATGGGTATTCTGCACACAACAGACTGGGTTATTTCAACCAGTGTGAAAATATTAAAATGGAGAACATGTGTGGGCACTTAATTGTGGTGAGTCCAACCACAAATACCTTCGCCGTTGGTAATTGGCACACAGGAAAAGCAGACCTTTGTTTTGTTTTTATCAGACATAATGATAGATACATAGTTTTTAGTGGGGTTTTTCTGGTTTTCTAAGGAAATGAGGCTTGTGCAATCACACTGCCTGTGTGCATGTGCCTATCTGCTTGTCAGTTCCTCCCTCACCAACAACACTTGAAATTAATAGCCATTTTCAACCAAATTTGAGCAAAGCACAGGAGTTGAGAGAAGTGACCAGCTTTTACAGAAGTCTTGTGAGTTCCCAGATTGGACCGAGGTCTGCAGAAGGTGCAGTCTCTAACAGCCGCATCACTGCAAGCCACATCGGCTGTGTATTTGCCCACATGCCTTTGCGTGGATCCAGCCACCTAACTGTAAGCTCTCAAATTTGAATATTTTGGCTTACTTGCTTTTACCCTTCGGGTGAGTGAGTCAGTTGGGGGTGTTGCTAGGCACAGAGCCCGTGTTTTGATTCTTACTGGAGTGGCCATGTCTCATGAAAAACATAGTTTGCTCCAGGCCACAGTGTTACAATTTGCATATAAACTTATGAAGAAGGAAGTTTTCTTTAAGCTCTCCTGTGCGAGAGTTTATGGGAGAATTTCTGTCTGTGTACATAATAGCAGAAGGTGGACTTCTCATAAATGTAGACGGGTTAAGGCTGTCACTGCCTGAATGGGAATCTTCAGTGGAAAAACCCAGAAAGAGGAAGGAAAGCCTAAGGAAATACCAACTTCAAGGGGAGAAGTTGGCCAAGACTTCTGTTGTGCTGCTCTTTGGTTTGTACCTGGCCACCAGCAGCGTAGTTGGGGAATGCCTCGGAGCCATGCAGGAATGTAGCCTCAGGGCACCTTTGGGAGGCAGAGAAGATGTCTTTATGCCCTTTACTCAAAGAGAGGATGGAGGTACAAAGACACCAAGTGATTTGTGAGAGATTCCAAGAGTATGTATTTGAGTTAGAAAACAGCCCCAGGTCTCCTGACACAAGAAGTACACCCAGAAGAATGGTCTACATATAGACAGCTTCTCCAGCAACTGGAGAGATGCCGTGGTCAAAGAGGAAGATAAATGTTGAAGTATACAAAAGCTGGCTAAGTTATAAATGTGAGAAGAGGAGGAGGGGAGGAAAAGAGTCCCGCATGTTCTACTCAGATGTTAACAAAGAAAGCTGAGAAGTGTTTGCATAGACACTACATTATTCCGTGTCCAAATGCCTCATAAAAATAATACCGGATGATCACAGAATGGCACACCAGGGAAAATAAATTCTTCAGCGGAATATTCCCTCTGGAAAAACACTGTGTAAAGTAATACACTAATGGCTTTCAATTTCATGTTTTATATATAGAGATATTAACTGCTCCCCAGACGTCTCTTCGTATTACTGCCCAGCTACACAAGCAGTTTGGAGAAGGCCCCGGAGCACGCTCAGTCTTGTCTGTACACAGGACCAAGCAGTGGTCTCCTGTTGTCCATACAACGCCTGTCGTGTATGCAATAGGTTTCTGCCTCCTTCCCAGAGCAGTACTGCTCCCGTGGTTCTCTCCAGTCAGATTTCTTTTTTTAATGCTTCCTAGTCTTCATGTTTTTTTCCATTCTTCCCCCATGCTCTGTAGCCTCACCACCATGCTGGGAACCTTGCATTCCATCTCTGCTCGTAAAAAAGGAGTCCTCACAAGAAGCATTACAGTGGAGTGGTTAAAGCACAACACTGTCAATCAAAATGCTAATAATATGCTAAAGAAAGTCAAGTATAAAACCAACATTATTAATTCCTTTTTGGGGGTTTTCCAGGGTTGTCTGAATTTATCTGGTGACTTCTCTCTCCACATTGCTCAGACTGGGAGCTGTTTGAGTCAGGAACTCTCTGTCCTGTACAATGCCAACTACGGTTATGCTGTTGTAGCAAATAAGAATGATCTGGGTTCTTTTCCAAGCTTTCCTAATATATCTCAAATGTGTATATATATCATCCTGCTGCATCCTGAGGGATCCAAAAGTAGCTTACATGCTTTGTTCCCTGGAAGTAGCCTATTGGAGTCTGGGACAGGCAGGGAAGAAGTCCTGAGTGTGGGGACATTGATGTTGCACTGCACAAGGACAGCAGCCCTGCTTTTGAGATGACGAGGCATGTCCAAGTTTTGCAGGAAGTTTTGCGATATTTGGTTGAAAAGGCCAGTAAACACAGAGCGTGGTATGAGTGAACATCGTATCGTTGCTGGATTAGTTATTATTAGGGACATACTATTTGTATACTCATTTATGAGTAATTCTATTTTGAACTCAATCTGCATTCATGCTTACACCTCAGCTCTCGCTTCCCTTCTCCTCCTTCCCACCCTCAGTGACCACACCACTCCACCCATAGAGCCTTGAAGGAGAAGCGGAGCGTCCCAAGACTGGGGACACGACAGTTATTCTCAAACTGGAGAATACCATTTTGAGTGGGACAAAGCCCCAGACCATAGTTGCTCTATTGCCTTCGGTGGGGCTGCTGTCCAGCGTAGGGTGGTGGTTCTAAATACCTTCCATGACTCTCTGTGTGAATTATTTTCAACACTGTTTTCTGGGTAAGGACATCAGACCTGCGTGGGCCATCTCAATTTTCTAGAACTCAGATGAATGGCAGAGGAAAATTGCAAAGGTGTGCCTTCTACCCACCCTCTTCCTTTATCTCTGCACCACAATCTTCCTGAGGAAAATGTCTTTCCCATGATCTAAAAAACCCTCTTTCTCTGAAATCCTGTCTTCACTTTAAATCTATATCTGCCACATAACATTTCATCAACAATCTGAACAAGGCAGCAAGCCTTTTGTATGTGCGCATGCAGATTTTTTGTGTGATATGTATTTGTATGTGGCATTAGGGAACTTTTTCAGAAACAAACAGAGCTCTTAGGGCTTGTCTTTACTTAGAGTTCTTACTAGCGGTGTCTGATACACCTTTCTTGAAGAATGGTAAGAATAAAGTATCCACATGTCAGTTTCTTAAGGAATAGTTTCTGTGCTTTAAATAGATACAATATCTTAATTCATATCAATCTTCAAACAGAAAAAAAGTAATTTTTCCATGTAAAAGATGATATTGCACTCTTTGTAATCACTCAGTCTTTAGCTACTACTTTTTATGTAAAATATCAACTAGCTCAGCATCGGCACGTTAGCAAGAGCGCAAGAATTGATACTGCTATACTGGCAAAAGCATAAAAAGTGAAATCCTTTTGCCAGTGTAATTGTCTCCATTGGGGGAATTGGTTTAAGCTGTACAAGCAAAATCTACTCTTTAAATGGTAACAATTGTGCTACCACCAGGCAGCTTTATGAGGCAGCCTACCACAAAATTCCTTTCATGTGGAGGCAAAGCTTTAGGCACAGGTTTATCCCATCTAACTGAGGAGCTGAGGATGACTGTGTAGCTGGGTTAGATGATAGCTGAATGGTTTGCATCTGGGGCCTAGATTCTTTACAGTGATTACTGGCAAGCAGCAGCAGTGGTATCAGTGCAGTCTTGGGACCCAGTTTCAAGCCTCTCTCCATCTTTTCATGTGGGCCAGGACCAGAGTGCTGTCCAGTGGCGCTGGATTTTTGCCAGCAGTGGCACAAATTGCTCTTCTGTTGACTGAGCTGCTGTTTCCCCCTTGCCTACTGTGCAGCATGGGTGTGTGGAAGGACCTTCTCTGCAGTTGAGACCAGGAGCCTGCTTTGACTCATGTCCTTTCCCTTTGGTCACAGGCCGCTGTGCCCGCTGTGGGGAGAATGTTGTTGGGGAAGGCACTGGCTGCACAGCTATGGACCAGGTCTTCCATGTGGAGTGCTTCACCTGCATGATGTGCAACAACAAGCTGAGGGGACAGCCTTTCTACGCAGTGGAGAAGAAAGCCTACTGTGAACCCTGCTATATTGTAAGTACCCGTGCTTGTTTGCATTCTGCTTTTAATGCACACACTGGAAACATTGATTTCTTCTCTTGCCGGGCAGTTGCCTTACAGTTAAATCCTGATGATCCTGTGGCAGTACTGTGGGCACTGGTTTTTCTGTGGTCTTCAGAAGAGCTCAGATATTTTCAGCTTCCTGGTTTAACTTTGTTTCCTGGTCTAACCTATCTCTGAAAGGAAGTGGCCAAAGCGGGGGAAAGAAGTGTTTTTTGTGATTATTTCAGCTCTGTGAGGAGCAGGCTATGCAGCACTTATTAAGAGCTGGTATTATTCCTGGAAACTTTCTGTGTTGAGAAACCTGATATGAAAATCCTTATAGATTGGGGTGCCTGCTATGATTAAGGACGTGGGATGCAAGATAGCACTGAAACTTCTAAAGTCAAGACCTTTGCATTGCTTGACAATATTAATGGAAGTTCTTCCACTGAACTAAAGGTCTTTGGATATCTTTTGAAGCTTACCTTACCCTAAAATTTGATTTCATGCCTCCAGCAAGCCCTTAAAGCAAACAACAGTTGCTCTGAGCAGCTGCACCCTTTAAGAGGCTCCCATAAGAGCTAGTTGGAACCAGTTACAAATTAAAGAAACATCACATAATGTGCCTGAGGCCTTACCTTGCTGTGACCTTAGTGTACGGTATATAGGGATAATCCTTGTAATTTAGACTAAGAAAAGCACAAGAACATTCTTAAAGCATTGATAGGTCTTTCTACCTTCAATTCAGAGTTCTTTTTATAAACACTGGACCCAAGACCCTCCAGAATTGGATTTGCACTTCTGAAAGTAAAAAATTGATGCTTTTCTTGCCATTTCTGGCATTCCAATAATAATTAAAGCAATAGTATGTATTTCTGAAAATGCCACCAATATCCCATTATTTCTGCTGTTTCTGCAGAGCATTTGTGGTGGGGTTATTGCTGAAACATTGAACATGAAAAGGGAGGATTCTGTCTTGTTTACAATGGCAGTGATAGATGGGTCTTATTAATTAGCTTTTAAAAACTAAATGATCTTTTGATGGAATATATACCTTTTAAAGCATTTCCATTTTTGTTTGCACTAAAATGGTTGCACCATAAAAAATTAAAGGTTAATTTTGTGACAAGTTTGACCATGTGCAAAGCACTGCAGACTTTAGGAAGGTGCATTTGTAATATGATTGGGGCAACTTTATGTAACTAGAATTAAACATTTCATTGACTTCAGGCTTGAATTGACTTCATATGCTTGCAGATTGATACTTTCTTTTCCTCTTTTTTTTTTTTTTTTTTTAAATCAAGCACGCATTCTTCACCACTCATCTGCTTTGGTTTGGGAAAACATCTGCATTAGCCACTGTAGTAATGGTTTAAGATTATTTAATCCCATTACTTATACACTTCATTAGCCTGAGTGAATTGTTGGCAAGGGTTCAGTAAACTTCCTACATTGGGAGATAAAAGGATAAAAAAGGAAAGGGAGAAGGATTCTGTTCCTCGTTTTCTTTCAAATTTATCTTCTATCTATTTAAGGGATAAAGGAATGATAATTGCCTGGTTGCATCTGCACTTGTACGTTCTGTGATACGGCTTTGCAGCTCTGAGCACAGAGGAAAGAGTAAATGTTTAATAGCTTTCTTTTATATAACCAGAAGGAGCCTTTAAATGTTTATCCATGCAGTCCACAAAACCCTGGTTATGGACTTAACCGAAAACATGTCTGGATCCATCTGCTGCCACACATGCGGGGAAAGTATGGTGATGCTGATGGGGCTACGTACGTGTAGCTGGACAGCTGGTACCACGGGTGGGAGATGGAAAGCAGGAATCTGGCAATCTGATGCAGCAAAGGGGAAAAAAAAATCCAAGCGCACATTAAACTCTTAAGTATGGAAGAAACAAGTGTTGGGAGTCTTAGGTCTCAATACCCTTCAGAAAGCTCAGGACTCTGCTGTGCCAAAAGCCAGATCTACAAGGGATCTAGGCACCTGCCATGGTATTGGCTTTAGGCCTGAGGAATTTGTGTCATAGAGCACATGTCTCATTGATTTTTTTTTTTTTCAATGAAATGAGGTCTGTGTTGGCTTCAGTAGGATGATGAGTCCTAAGTGCACTGAGGGCCTGACCTAAGGTTTGCAAGTTATTCTTGCAAATGGATTGGGGGCCCTTAAATTGCTGAGGCACAGTCTGAATGCTTTTGCCTTCAGATGTGTGATGCAGTCATACTTAAGTCAATGAGAGTTAATGACCTGCCTAAAATCTAGTCTGTGCTTAAGGATTTGGTGAATTGTGGCCTCTGGTTTTTTTGGAGCTTCCCCAAGTCCCATTATCAGAAAATAACTTGGACACTTGGAGCCCTAGTTCTGTAGGAAATCAATGGGACTGAAGATCCCAGACTCAGATTCCTGTGGACCTGAATTCCTGTGAAGGGTGGAGCCTGTGTGACTAGCCCAAGATTGCACAGCTAAACCATGGCTGTGACCAGCTGAGAAAACAGGATTCTCAGCTGGTATAAATCCAAGTAATTCAATGAAGCTTATTTACTGGTCTACCTAATTCACACTGATTTTTAGCACACATCCCCATTTCCCCAAGTCCAAAACTCTTGACCTATTATGGAAGCCATTAGGCCAAGCTGCTTCATTTATATAAAAGATGAACTACAATATTTGCCTGGTTGCAATAGATAAATTCATGAATTCTTTGATTATTTTTTTTAGTAATTCCCTGATGTGACTTGTGGCCATACATGCATAAAAACTATGCACAAAAATAAAAATACATGTTTTTCAACAGTTAGAATTAGCTAATCTTCTCAGTTTGTTATGTGACTCTTCTTAGTTGTGGTGAAGCCATAATTAAGATGACTGTGAAGAGCTGTATTTAATTACTAGTTAGTCAATACCAAGCCTAAATAGCCTGTGGAAGGATTGGGGGTGTTTGGTTTTGTTTCTGATTTTATTTATCAGTGACCCAGTTAAGATGAAATTCCCCAAAAGTCTGAATTAACATGTAAGGAGATCAGTCACCTGTTTAGAAAATGTTTTTCCTAATGAGAATTTGAGTACCAGAGTTAATTTTTCACACAAAAATCTTCCCATCCAAAAGCCAGTCACTATCGTTTCCTGTTACATCTTATGAATGCAATAATTTCTGTTGCCAATGTGTTTGCTGGTTTTGTTCTGCATCCAAGGATTCTTTCATTATTAATGTTATTTCTAAAAGAGTACCAGTCTTCTCCATTAAGACACTATTGCTGAACTAAATGTAACTGTAAAAAATAAAGTGTTAATAGGAGACAGATGTCTCCTAGTCATTAGGACAGTCAAGTAACATCTGAAACATCATGATAGGGTTTCCAGTGTAACCAGAGTACTGCTGTACACGTGATGAATGCTGTGTCTGCAGTATGTTATTGGTATACTTTTCCCCTCCCTTACAGGGCAAATTACTGACAAAAACCATTTGGTTTGCTTCCTCTAAGTAGTTGAAGAGATTTTAGCACTGGGCTCAGTGCAGAGAAGAGGTTAAGGGTAGTATCAGTGGAACCGTTGTTATAAAAGATTGAAGAGCAAGATGTTAGAGCAGTGCCAGCTGTCTGCTTTCCAAATACTGTATTATCATAAGGACTGAACACAAGGTTAACCAGACACACTGGTCTGGCAAGAGCGATGCTGCTGTTTTGTGAATGGGATGTTCTTTGATGTCCTGATGACTTTCTCTGGGATGTGGAAGTTTTCCTCCATTCTTTATCCCCTCTCCTGGCAGTTTGGTGGTTGGCAGTTGGAGATAAACTCTCTGAGGCTGAGGGCTGAGAGGTGCTAAGCACCTGCAGTGAGCACAGAAAGCAGCAAGATCTTGCAGGTGCTCCTGGCCTCTGAGGGTTTCTTCTGTCATGTCCAAGCCAATGTGACCCACTACTGGGGATGCAATGGGAACGGGGACAAGAAAGCAGAACTGACTAACCAGGCAAAGCAGAAATAGCCGTGGTCTGATGAAAGAGAGTTCAGAGAAGTGGTGGGGCTAGAAATGATGAGTGACTGAAGGAGAGGAAAGAAACTTCTCATGTCTGTCTAGCTAGAGTGGGGCAAGATGGTGGGTATGCTCTGCAGTGCTCTGTGGAGACCCAGGGATCGAGGTTTCCTGCTTCTGCTGTGAGATATTAAGGACATGACCTTAAGCCCTACCCCAAAGATCACTTAAAAGGATTTTGCAGGGTGAGGTGCTAAAGCTGTGGAAGTGCTTGATGGGGGAAGAATTGTGCGTGGAAGTCATGCTCTGATCACTGCTGTTCCCCAGGTTTAAACTAAGGATTGTAATGGTCCACTTTTTTCCGCAATTATTTGTTTTGTGAGCAACCCCCCCCACCCCCCATATCTTCAAGGTTTTTTTCACTTACTAGCTTCAAACTTTCAGGCATATCAGAGGCTGTAGTTCAGTAGAAGATCCTTCAGACCAGAACATGAGAGAAATGCTGATGTTTCAGGAAATGGTGCAACTAGAGCCACTGGTGCCACGGAGCATCCTGGGAAAGTTTAAATTTGCTAATCGTTCTGAAGTGTCAGTGTTAACTCAATTTGCGCTCATTGAAATCTCTGGCAAAACTGCTATCAGCTTCAGGGCGGCTGGTATTGTAAACCTCACCCCGTGTGCGCATGTGAGTGTGGTTATTTGAGAGCTGTGCAAGAGCAGCTACCTCCAGCACATATGATTTAAAGTGTAAGGTTGATCCCTGCAGTAAAATTCCATCTATTTTTAAAAATAATTCTGCAATTTGTAAGCAGAGATTACAGCACTAATTTAGCAACCATGTAACAATTTAAATTGGACCAGAAAAGAGAAACTATAATTTAAAGATTTTTTTTTATGATACAAGTTTTCTTCTTTTTAAAGTAAAAAGTCCTTTATTCTTGTTTTTGTCAAGCAATGTATTGAATTTGAGAGTAATTTATGGAAAGTGCTGCCAGCATGGTATTGCGAGTGCTCCAC